CACACACACACACAAGCAGACACAGACTCCTGCCTTTTCCTTTCTCTGTGAGTATCAAATTTACTCTCTCATTACACGCATGTGCGCACGCACACACACACACACACACACACACACACACACACACATTCACACACACACACACACACACAAACACACACACACACAGAGTCTTTTCATTTCTCTGTGTGTATCAAAGTCATTCACTCTCTCACATACATACACGCACACGCACATGCACATGCACATGTACACACACACACTTACACACACACGTGCGCGCGCACACACACACACAGAGTCAAACACACACACACCAGTCTACGCTCACATATACATTCGCTCTTTAGACTTTAACGATAACACTAGCAGACACTCACACAATCACAAAACAATCAAAGACAATAACAATATTATGCAAATAAAACACTATGAACATAAGAAAACATCTACAACGCCTACCACATGATACATTATCACATATCAGGTAAAAGACCTCTTCAACAAAGTAATGTATGGTTAAACTCCATTTCATTTACGATTGAACACCTCCGCTAACAAATCGTGCCAAGTGGGTGAATGATCGTTGATGTTATATGTTGTTATCATCGAAACAGTTTGGATCATTTCGGAGAAGGGCAGGCTTTAATCTTTTCTGTCAGGGTCAACATACGTTATATGGAAATTTGAGTCCCCACAGAAAATGACTTCCCCACTCAGACCTTTTTTATTGGACAAGATACGGAGGGTAACATACATCTACACCACTGACATCTGCAGCTGAAAGGGTGAGAGTACGGTTGAACCTGCCCAAGACAACAACTCACTGTCCAAGAGCAAACTGGTCATCTTAGACAGGTGGTCCTCAAGGACAGTGTCATTATCATGAAGAAGAAAAACAAAACTCTTTGAGGAAAATGAGAAGCGGTCGTTTGTACAGTGATATATTTTAGGGCAGGTGGTTGTTGGAGGAGGTCCGACAGCACTCAGTTAAATAACTTCCTCTCTCTGATCTTTCATGTGCAAAATAAAATAAAAAACAATAACATTGCAGCACTTGTGGTTATAGGAGTGAAAAGTACTAAAAACTGCTTCAGACGACACACATCCCAGAAGGACTCATGACCGTCCACATCAAGGTCTAGCATAGTACCAACTGAGCTAACGCGATGCTGAGATAATATTATTGTGCATAATTGTGAAATCCTTAGTACTGCTATCCTGAAATCCCAACGGTCAAGGAATTAGTTTGGTAACTAAGAAAAAAATTCGGAACACCATGCAATAAGCTCACTTCCCTCACACATTTCATAGGGCATAACGGGGTCAAACTGATGATACTCTCAATTGTGTCCTGAAGCCAAACAGTACCAGTCGCACAATAGTATCATATTGTCAGTAGAGTGTATGACCAAACCAATAGTGTACAGAGTATTGTCCGCAAGTTTCTTGTAACACACTGGTGTGTCAGGCTAGACACATCCCAACAGTGAAGTATTGTTCGCACATAGCAATCTGTTCTTCTTGCAAGAACAAAAAGTTGGGTGTCAGATTGCCTGACGGCCTGATGCAAAATTCCTTTCTCCCAATAGTCCAGCCTGACTAACCATGTTCTATCCGTGCCGTGTCAATTCAATAAAAGGCAAAATGCGGCAGTATAAGAACCCAAACCGCAACCCTAACCGTAGTCGTAACCATAACCCCAACCCCTATCCCTACCTCTACTAGTAGACTTGTAGGTCATCAAGTGGAACAGTCCCATAACTACTTTACAACCAATACATATCTCTTTCCTCTGAACTTTTTTTGCAGAAATCATTTGAAATCCTGCATGTAACAAATATGTTTGTATCTCACGTCAGTAAACATAAACATTTCATAGAGACACCCTCTGCTTTCTGCTGGGGTGTTGTATATCTTACTCAGCTGTGTTGGCCCTGACAGGTAGGGGGACAAAGCAGCACAACTTCAAAACTATCTCAGTTGTAGCGATGGGGACAGAAAAACTGCAACGGCCATTTACGATTATCTTGAAAGGCAGGGCTGATTCGTATCATCCTGTACATTACAAGAACTTGTATAAAATGAGATGACACCTCCATTGAGAGAAACAAAGAGGTACAATACGCCTTGCTGTGATGGTGGTCCTAACCAATGCAGATGGAGGAAGTGGAGGTAAAGATTTAAATACCTCTCCAATTCATTTCAAGTGACTACCTCTCGACATCTTTCAGATTTAAGTGAAGACACATTCGTAAGAAAAACTAATTTAAAGGAGAAATTATGGAAATTGAAAGGATGAAAAAATAAAGGGCCCCTACAGACTAAAATAAACTAAAAGCATCCCCATACCCCCACCCCCTTTTTTTTGCAACAAAAACTAACACAAGAATGCTACATTAAAATATAAGATGCCTACTTAATTACCTGCTGTCAGCTAAGGGTTGACTCATTCTTAATCTATTAGACAAAACTCATAGGCCCAAAGTTAAAACAAGACACAAATACGTTATATCTAGTTATCCCTTTTGTGCCCTGTGTGAACGCAAGAAAATGTGGGAGCCAGTGATTTCTAGATTTTTGCCTTCGAGCTCATTCAGACCGCAGAGTAGAATCTAGCAGAACAAATAGTCGAAAATACACCCATAGCTAAGAATTGAGATAAAAAACAGCGGTTTACAGGTTAAAGGGCAAAAGTATGGATATAAAAGATGTAAAAGCAAACAATATTATACTGAGCTTTTATAAGAGCAGCGTACTTCTAAAGGCGAAAACATACTAAACATAAATCATGCCAAATAAATTATGCGCAACAGGCTCAATAGAAAAGAGTTTCCCCGGTCTGTGCCACTGTGAAACCGCAGGTCTTATCTATCGTCAGTCTATTACAAAATGGAATTACTTACCTCCTTTTTCACCGCCCGTAAAAGGCGCTGTCGTTCGTCGGGTTCAGACGCCATTTTAGGGTGATGAGTTGGGAGAAAGTGAAAAGAAAGTAGCAGCTAGGCTCCGCTCATTTGGTACATGCATCCACCATCATCGACTCACAGCATCCCGTTTCTATACACGCCTACACAGCCGAACTACAACCGGATGTTTACACTCTGAATTTCTAATGCAGAAAAGCATCCATGAACCGTATTTCGTACAGAATGAAATAATTATCCTCTTTTTTAAATCACGCAATTAATTCAACTCCAACCTTTCGTTAAAGTCGTTCCACAACACCAGAAATACATTACACTAAGGGATACAATGCTTTATTTTGCAAATTATTTGCGCGAAAGAATACAATGTGCAGATCGAAAAACTGGCAACTGAAACAATGTCCACAGCGGTCAGCTGATACGAACCGCATTTGTTTACTTTTCTTTTTTCCTCTCAAATGAATGAGATAGGAATTTTCATCCTAAATCTACACCTACCCAAAAACAAAATGCCTTCAGATTTGAAAGATAATATGCTTAGCCTAGGCATGCATAGAATTTTGGTGAGACTTGTGAAAAAGCTGTCAAATCGAGCTAAAACGTTGTTTGGCGTCTGCTAGCCTAGGCGAGGTGCGCGTTTGTGAGTGCGTGCGTGTGTTTTTAAGCTCATTGGTGTACGTTCGTAGTAGGCCAGTAGATTCTAGTATATATATATATATATATATATATATATATATATATATATATATATATATATATATATAAGGTCACAACGTGTGTTTTATTTTATTTTATTTTTTACTTTTGATATTTTTCTGGTTTGTTTTTTTAGTTTCAAATTTGCTATCAATTCATCTAAAGCAACTACGGTGAATAAGATATTTTGCGTCTTTAGGAGAATGTTCAAAGATCAAAGACTGTTGTGCCGCTTCAAAACATATAAAATTGTGCTACCTATATGTCTCATCTGTACCCCGAGGTAGATATAATCATTATAATTGTTTTATTTTTGTGATTTGGATGGGTTGTTTTTTTAAAGATTCGCATCATGTGGTTCAACGTAAAACGATTTATTTACTTTTGACGTTTCGGTACTTAATAAAATTGTTGTTTACCTTGGAGCAAACAACATGCTTTAAAATTTATTAAAAAGCCCGTAATAATATACATTGTTAAATGATTTATTGACGAATCAGGCGGCAAGTGGACACTGGCTGTAGGTTACGGAAGTCACATTTTTAGACTTCAGGATAGTGTAGGTCTTATAGGCCTATCAAAGTATAATTTCAGGTATTTGTTTCTATACTATATTATATAATCAATTCTAGATTTAGAAACACTCGCTTAAGTGTCTCAGTGGAAATAATACTCGTCTAGTTTTCTCATTCTTCGGTCTTTTCTTTTTACAAATGCACTAACCAAAAGGCCAAAAACCAAAATAATCAGTTTACACTACACTACACTATTTCAAGTTGGCAGTGAAGCAGGTCACGAGTTCCCAGTTCCCGGAAGAAAATGAATAAGTTGCAACGACTCCACACTCCTACTTTCGTTTACGTGGGTGTTCCTTGATGCTCATAAACAATTTATGATTTATAAATATTTATCGCTTTTATAATATACATAAAACTATAATACTCTAAGTTTCTTTTTTCATCAATTATATTTTTAAGTAGAATATAAAATTCTTAAGCTATAAATAATTGGATATATTACTTGTGCTTATTTCAACAAAGGATCCCACTTCATGATACAAGTTGAGAAAATGGCTGCTACGGGTGCTGCCCACTTGAACAGTGCGAAGCTAAATTTGGGAATTTTACGTGATTTTTACAGACGCGAGTTTTTAGAATGTATTGACAAATGCATTGGAACTAAGGTGAGTCGTTGGTTATCACAATTATATGACTATATACAAGGTCTGAATGCTTAAAAGTGAATCATAAGCTATTTATTGGTGAGACAACACTGAATTTGACACAGTACAGTTTGAGTACAGCAGCAGTGACAGTTCAGTAGGCAGTACACACTTCACTACACAACACAACAAACCACGCACAGTTTCTCAATCCATACTTAGCTGAAGTTAGTCGATATTGAAGTAACTGAAACTGAACGTTGTATGAAACAAGAAACCCCAGCGCAATAAGAAGTTCTGCTCATTGAAAGATGCCGGCGGACTTGCACTCCCACTCGCACCATTTTTTGCCTTGGCCTTCCCATGAAGTTTTCCTAGAATCTAGATTAGATCTAGATCTAGATCTAGATCTATTTATTTTAGTATTTTGTTACAGTTGAATGTTTTACTAAATCACTATTCATGTCATTTATGATTTGCCCCCAGCCTATCTGCCTTCCTGCCTGCCTGCCTGCCCCCCCCCCCCCCCCCCTCTCTCTCTCTCTCTCTCTCTCTGTCTCTGTCTCTCTCTCTCTTGTCTCTCTCTCTCTCTCTCTCTCTCTCTCTCTCTCTCTCTCTCTCTCTCTCTCTCTCTCTCTCTCACTCTCTCTCTCTCTCTCTCTCACCCCTCTGATGGATGAAGGCATATTATGTGGTACTTTTTTCTGTTGTAAACTAAACATTCTTGTATGCCAGCACTGCACTTGTTGCCCCACTAATGATCTATGGATTGGAAGGCTGTTCCACGTCTGGTTTGTTACAAGTAGTCCGTCAATTTCCTAAACCAATGCTCAAACCTGTCACACATTTCCCTACAACTGTGACCCTCTTTATCCTAGAGTTTCCTTGAGTGAACACATGCTTAAAAGAAATGAATGATACTTGATGGTGACTATAGGTCTACTATATATATATATATAAATAATTTTTGTGCTGGGGTTTTGAAGATTTTTGTATTATTATAAAGAGTGAACTTGAACAAGGTAGGCCTAATGCGTTACCTTAGCCTGTACTCTGTCAGTACTTCCAGTTTATCGTTGTTGTTTTTTAAAATGGGCTACTGGTTGTTTTTTTCTCTTTTATTTATTAGTAGTCTTTACCATCTTCTCTTCTCAAATTGTCAACAGAATGGATATTTTCTTTCAACTCTGAATTGAACTTAGTTCTTTGCATTAGTTGGTCTTGCTCTTCCCTGCCTGTCCTCACCCTATCCATACCTTTGTTCAAGTTACTTACACTGACTGCCCTGTGGTTTGTTTGTTTTTTTGCAGGCTCTTGTCTGGGATGATGGTCTCACAGGTCCTTTTGGACTGATAGCAGAAGCTTCCATGTTGAAGGTAACAAGGATTTTTGATCAGTTTTATTCGATTTTATGCTATGAAGATTTACTGTAAAAGGATACAATCTTTCTGAGATAAAAATATTGATTTCATTATAAACCAGCATTTGGGTCATCTCTTAGTATTATAACCCATTTGGCAACCATTTGTCTTGATTATCAATGGCATGCAAAACTCAAACTGGTCTCTATTTTAGCTGCATTTCCTGCTTTGGCAATCTCTTCCCCACTTTTATTGTACTCATACAGCAAGCTGGTTGTGTGATGGGAGTATACTAACCCTTCCTTCTGCCCACCTGGCTCTTTTTAGCAGACAATTTTAAATGTCTGACCCCCATGCATACAGTGTGTTTTTATATCTCTTCACTGTTGCTAAAAGAAATCAGGTCTTTTAAAAAAATGGTTGTACAAAAAAGAACTCAATATGATCTGTAATGCTTTCTGGGTTCCTCAAAATATATATATGCTCTTTCATTTTAAAATTTTGGTTGCTTGTTTTCGCTGCATAAGACTATATATCAACTTGGGCTATTCTAAAACCTATATTTTCATGTGTTGTTTTTTTTCATTTGATAAAGGAGCAACATGAAGTGGAGCGGATGTTTCGCCTTCAGTCCTCGGGACTTCCTTCCAGCAATGTTCAGAACATCATCTTCATTGTCAGACCCAAGTTAGGACTAATGGAGACCATCGCACAATGCCTTCTAAAGTCAGATTTTTGCACATAAATATTATATTGCAATACGAAATATTTCTTTTTAATTTTATGTGCTTTTATATTTTCTCAATCCATCATTGATAAAGGTAAAAGGTATTATAATTTAATTAATTTCCTTGCCACAAAACAATCATGTTTATTATTGTTACTTATAATTAAGTTATCTGTTTTATTCTAGCTGGCTGTAGCTGCTGGAATAGGTTTTAAAAAATCTTTTTATTTATTATGTCACTGTGGACACAGTTTTGCATTCCTGAGCTTTGCATTCATACCTCCGTTTTGTCTTTTGTTTGCAGGTTTAAACAAAATCTTTTTATTTATATCGCTGTAGACACAGTTTTGCATCCCTGAGCCTTACATTCAATGCCTCCGTTTTGTCTTTTGGTTGCAGTGAAGAAATGAAAGGTGGCTATGTGAGGAAGGAGTTTTACCTCGTGTTTGTGCCGAGGAAAAGTCTGCTGTGTGAAAAGAAATTAAAGGTACTGTGTCTTTTTTTGGTTTTAATCTCGATTTCCGTCCTTTCTTCTGTCTTTGGTTATGAGATACTTTGAAGGTTTTTTTTAGAGAAAGGAGGGAAGTGGAGGACTGTAGACAGAAATATCTTTCCAGAGGGAAACAGGGGACATCAAGTCATGGTACAGAGACGATGACAGAGAGACAATGACAGTGACACAAGACTAACAGGGAGAGTGTTGTTTGTGTTTTGTATTAGAGCTTTAGAGATCTTAATCTTAATCTAAGGGACACCAAAAATTGTGTGTATGTGTGTGTGTTGGGGGGGGGGGGGGAATCATACCAGTTGCTGGTTTGAACTGTGTAAGGACATGTTCATGTTATTTTGTGTAGATTTTAAAGAATTTAAAGATTTTCTTCTGCACTTTGAATTTTTTCCTGTCCGTTTTTGTGCATCTACCTTTGAAAGTTGTTTTTTGGTGATATGTCAGTCATTTGATATAAAATGTTGATTTTAAATGAAGACCTCTCTTGCAACCTTGGTCATATTAATCCCTTGCCTTTTTCAGGAGCTGGGTGTGTATGGATCATTTGCAAGTGTGGAGGAATTTAATTTAGGACTGATTCCCTTTGACTCTGATTTGTTGTCTATGGAGATGGATGAATCATACAAGGTAAGTCTGAATCATACAAGGTATGTGTCATCTTATTTAGCTTTCATCTGGTGTAGGCCTTCCGTATATTGTACAACTCAACACTACTTCCTCTAGAATAAACAAGCTTTCAATCATGTTTGTTTGTATCAATGGTAGGGAAACGAACTGTCACAAAAGAGCGACAATTGTGCACGTTGCAGTGTTGAAAGGGCTTGAAATCCTTACCTTACTCTATCATACCAATTAAGTTTGCAAATTTTTGTTGCTATTTTCCTAAATTGTCAGTGGAGGTATAGAAACACCTAGATTTTGGGGGGGATTTACGATTTTCGGCAAGGTATGAAATGAAAGAAATTTTGTGGGCAGAGAACTGCTATTGTAATCCATTATCTTTTTATTAATTTATTCAAGTTGATTGTGTTTGTGTATTCAAGTTGATCGTATTTGTGTGCCTCCAGGAGTGTTACCTGCAAAACGACTTCACTTCCATGTTCTTTGCTGCCCAGTCCTTGATGACGCTGCAGGCTCTGTACGGCACTATACCGTATGTCTATGGCAAAGGAGACTGTGCAAAGGTACGCTCGAGTTTGTGTGTGATTTTGCCGTAATAACATGGGCAGTGTTAGTGTTAACGGAGAACCACTTATTGGTATTGTTTATTCCTGAAGAAATGTGAAGTGGTAACTTTCGTGACCTTTAAAGAACACATTTCTGTGTGGATTTTACTGAAAAATGTTAGGTTAAAGGCTGAAAAGATGTAAATTTTCAGTTTCCACGGATTCTCAAGCTTAGGAAATAATTTAACTTTGATGGCCATTTTCTCGCTAATTTTACCTTTGAAACCAGGAGACCCCCGCCTCCTTCAAAGGCCGATATCTTGAATTGCATCCAAGATAAATGGATATTTTTTTCATCAAAAGCGAAGCAAATGAACAGGCTTTAAGATGGTACTAATAACTCCATATGTCCCAAATGTTTTCAAGCGCCTGGTTCCATCGTGTCATGACACATATATCTCTCTGTTGTTCCAGCAAGTGGTGGACATGATGCGACGTATGAAGATGGAGATGGGCGGCGTGGAGCCCCAGATCACTCCACAGATCGACAATCTGCTCATCCTGGACCGCAACGTGGACCTGCTGACCCCGCTGCTCTCACAGCTCACCTATGAGGGGCTCATCGACGAGATCTTCAACATCAAAAACAGTCAGTGCCCGATCAATTGTTGTGGCAGATTCAAAAGATTGTGAAAAAAGAAAAAAAAAAGTTTTCCATGTTAATTTATTGCTATCTAATCTTGTTTAGGCAATATCAGTGTGTGTAATCAGATGGGTTTATGGAATAAAATTTATCCTGTGTTTAAGAGTATAGATTGGGATGGCTTTCACTAACACTTGTTCACTCTATTTCTTAGGGGCAATAACGTCTTTGTTTGCATGATGAAGAACTTTCTCCCCCCGGGGCAGTGCCACTGAATGTAGTGTCCCCCCGGGGCAGTGCCACTGATTGTAGTGTCCCCCCGGGGCAGTGCCACTGACTGTAGTGTCTTTAGGCCATTCCCCCCGGGGCAGTGCCACTGACTGTAGTGTCTTTAGGCCATTCCCCCCGGGGCAGTGCCACTGACTGTAGTGTCTTTAGGCCATTCCCCCCGGGGCAGTGCCACTGACTGTAGTGTCTTTAGGCCATTCCCCCCCGGGGCAGTGCCACTGACTGTAGTGTCTTTAGGTCATTCCCAAAAGGGGGAAATTTCTTGTTCAAGCATAGTAGAATTGTAAATGGGCTGATTCATGTCACGCTCATAACTGTGCCTGATCTACAACAGGGAACTGCTGCTTTTTCTTTCCTAATCCTTACTATTGTCTTTCTCCTCTACTTCTTTTGTTTGTTTGTCACACTCTTGTGACCTGCTATTTTGGGGTACCTTGATAGTCGAAGCAGACCTTGTGCTGTTGGAACTAGAGAGGTGAGCAGAGTAAGTCTGATTCCCTGTAAAGAATTCTCTGTTGACACCCACCCCTTGACGCTCATATGACCTTATGCAATTGCGAGCGCCGTAAAACCCTCTACTATAAAAAAAATTTTTTAAAGAACTTTCACAAACATAGCATAGTGTAAGTTTTTGAAATATGATTACAAAATAATTACTAGAAACAAGCCCTGCTCAATGGTTACTACATTCACGTGTACTGGGGTAATTTTTGTCTTTTTTTCCTTATCTTTTTTGTACTGCCTGATTCTTGGCCAAACAACTTATTATTGACTGTAAATTTACCCGAAATGGAAAATTTGAGGTAGGCAGCCCTAGAATTACCTATCTTGAAAAAGACCGTTCGCTATTTCCACATCATTGTGAAATGAAAATGTTATCATCTGCAGCCAACGTGAAACTCCCCCCTGAAAAGTTTGTCTCTCAAGAGGAGAAGAAGAACAGCAAGGAGCCACTCCCCACAGAACCCAAAAAGTTTATCCTCAACTCTGCGGACGAGCTGTACGCCGAGCTCAGAGATAAGAATTTCAACGCTGTCGGGGCGATTGTCAGTCGCAAAGCAAAGACGATCACAGCAGAGTTTGATGTGAGTCCACAGCTACTTATAGTTGTTGAGACCAATTTGTGAGGCAGCTGGTGGAATCAGGCTTTCGTCAATTTTTGGGCATGCAGAGTTATTGGTATCATCTTAAAGCTTGTTCACTTGTCTTTATTTGGATGGAAAGGTGTTGAGCCAAAAAACAAAAATTTGATAAAAATTCACAAACCTGTGGAAAAATGCAAGTTTCTTCACTTTGATCATTTTGACGAGAGCCTGATTCCACCACGGTGCCTCACATTTGTGTAAGAGTTTATATGAGTCTACAGCGACTTCAAGTCGTTGAGACAGATATGTGTAATTTTGTAAAGGCTCTAATCCAGCAAAATATTTTTGTTGAATAGACTTAAACCAGCATGGATCCAGGCCCTACTGTATAACTACAGTTTCTTCAAATGTAATGTGTTTAGACATTTTGATCTTTACAAATAAATGACAGTTTTAATGACAGGCAACTCTATGTGCACGTATTGATGTGATGACTACTATTGGTCATTTATGGCTTAATATTCAGGTTCCAAAATATGAGGGAAAATTTCTTTGCATGCTCCTTTAAGTATAGGAATGACAGTACAGTATTTGGAATTATCAATCAACATCTCAAAGGAGTTTGTATTGAAAATGATGCTAGGCACATCAATATGCACAAAGAAGATCCTGTAACTTTTTTCTAAGATGTCAATTTCTTTCCCATACTCTTGTCAGACACTACTGTTTGAGCTACATGTGAATATGCCAACTCATTCTTTGATTTAAATATTTATACATGGAATGGGAATTTACACAAAGTCAAACTTATGACATTTTGTCAAGCTTTATTGATATACCATGCTTGCAGAGGCTGTTGAAGCATGTGGGTTTTTAGTTCAAATCATTTGGGTTTTTTTTGTTTCTCCCACAGGAAAGACACGCAGCCAAAACGGTGGGGGAGATGAAACAGTTTGTCTCCAAACTGCCGCATTTACAAAATGTTAGAGCATCTTTAGGCATTCGTAAGTGTGATCACAGATTTTGGTGCCATTTCTTTTGATGAATACTTTTTTTTTAAAAGCCACCTGTTTGTTTGTTTGTTTGTTTGTTTGTTTGTTTGTTTGTTTGTTTGTTTGTTCTCTTTTTGGGGTTTTGGTTTTGCTCTGTTTTTTCCCAAGTTATTCAGCAAGAGATTTTTATGTGAACTCGCAATGCTTACACAGGTGAAAGCAGGGTCTTCTGTACTGCTGTACTCTGACAAAACGCCTTTTTTCATTCTCAGCAGTTTCGAGAAAAAGTGTTTTTTTTGTCAGCATAACCATTGAAAATAAGTGTACTTCCGAAATTTGAATTCTAATTTATTCAGACACTAGTCACAGTTTCACTTTGATTTTTTCACACAAGTAGGGTAGCTTTAGCAAATAAAAAATTTTGGTGCCAACATGAAAAAAGATGTTTTGTCAGCTTACCTTATTTGTGGTTGGCCATCGTTGGTTTTCTGTGAGTTGAATGATCCGTGTTTGTGCAGTGTCAGTTACTGCATCTCTCTACTTCTAAGATTATGATACCTTCTCTTTTATGACGTTTTTGATTGAGTGTTACAGATTATTGTTTTGTAATTTAGTGTTTGAGCGCTTAATCAGCTGCTTGCACTGTATGCTTCCCAGGAAGCTGAGAATGTTTCAGAGTGTTCTGTGGTCTGCTGGGGTAATACTATTGTGTAAAGCACATAGAGCCTGCTGTTGAGCGGGGATATGCGCTATACAAATGCTATTTATTATTATTGTATAGGCTGGGGAGTGTATAAGCATTGTCACTGGCATCAGTCACCTATGGCTTGTGGCTTCGTGTGGGTGTTCATGTGCGGTGTGTTTGTGTGTGTATGTGTGTGTGTGTGTACATGTGTCTGTGTGTGTTCATGTGCGGTGTGTGTGTGTGTGTGTGTGTGTGTGTGTACATGTGTCTTTGTGTGTTCATGTGCGGTGTGTGTGGGTGGGTGCATGTGCGTGCATGTGTGTATGCGTGTGCGTGCGTTTGTGTGTGTGTGTGTGCATGTGTGTGCGTGTGTGCTTTAACCTTTATTTAAAACTGTTTATTTTCAGACACATCTATAGCAGAGTTGGTAAAAGAAGTGACAGATTCTGACGAGTTCCTTGATTCTCTTCGTTGCCAGCAAGGTACCGCTGAACTTTCCAAAGACCCTCATTTTCAGCTCATTTCTTGAGAATTGTCTTCCAACACTCTCTTTACGGCTTGAAAGATTAACGTAGAGCAGTGAGAATTGCTCAATACTATATTCATATAAAAATGTGAGGCAGCATGGTGGAATCAGGCTCTTGTCAATTTTTGAGCATGTAGAGTTATTGGCATCATCTTCAAGTTTGTTCACTTGTCTTTATTAGGATGAAAAAAATATCCATTTATCTTAAATACAAGTCGAGATATTAGCGAAAGAAGGAGGTGGGGGGTCGCCTGTTTTCGGAGGTAAAATTAGTGAGAAAATGGTCGCCGAAGATTAGTTATTTCCTTAGCTTAAGAGTCCATGGTAACTGAAAATTTACATTTTCTGTGCCTTTAATCGACGTTTTTCAAAAAAATCCACACAGATATGAGTTCTTTAATGGGCATGAAAGGTGTTGAGCCAAAATACAAAAATCTGATAAAAATTCACAAAACTGGGGAAAAATGCAAGTTTCTTCTCTTTGATTATTTTGACGAGAGCCTGATTCCACCACGCTGCCTCACAAATGTGTAATGCATTTAATGGCACACTTAACTCTAAAACACCATAATGCTAGAAAGCAGTAATTCAGGACTTTCAAAATATGAGACTGTTCTGCTGGTATATCTGAGGCAACTTCATAATCTACTGCTTATGTAGTGTGAGGATTTACAAGAAAACATAGTGACTAACACCAGCGTTTTACAATCCTTTTGCTTACTTCATAGCAGGAAAACAACTGAACCCTTGTGGAGAAGGTAAATGAAATATCTGATGTAGCTTAATCCAGGGGTTTTTCCCTTGGTGTGTGAGTGTAGGACTGCGCGAGTTGAAGCGTGCTGACAAAAGTACACACGGGACTGTGATATGTGAGACGTGCTGACAAGATGAAGCGTAGGGCTGTGATATGGAGAAGAATAGCTTTAGACATTTCATCTTGTCGTTCCCTCCCTCTCTTTGTCGCTGATTCTCATTACCTAGGTTTGCCACACAAAGTGACCCTTTCATAATATGTAATAACGTAAAATAAATTTTTGTGGCAGGACGTGGAATCAGACTCTCGTCAATTTTTGGGCATATAGAGTTATTGGTATCATCTTAAAGCTTGTTTACTTGTCTTGATTTGGATTTTAAAAATATCAATTTATCTTGAATACAAGTCGAGATATTTGCGAATGAAGGAAGTTGGGGTCACCTGGTTTCAGAGGTAAAATTAGTGAGAAAAAGGCTACAAAAAGTTAGTTATTTCCTTAGCTTAAGCGTCCGTGGTAACGGAAAATTTACATTTTTGGTGCCGTCGATCCACGTTTTTCAGTCAAATCCACACATAAATGAGTTGTTCAATAGGCAGGAAAGGTGTTGAGCCAAAAAGCAAAAATTCGATATAATTTCTCAAATCTGCGGAAAAATGCCAGTTTCTTCACTTTGATTATTTTGACGAGAGCCTGATTCCACCACGCTGCCTCACATATGTAATAACGTAAAAAAAATTATGTGTTTTCCGCAGAACTGACGCACGGCATCGACACAGACAAGGTGAACCCGTACATCGAAGACTGCATCGCCCGAGAGGAGCCGCTCAGCAAAGTGCTCCGTCTCATCTGTATACAGTCCATCTGTAACGACGGCCTCAAGCCCAAGGTGCTCGACTTCTACAAGAGGGAGATCATTCAGGTCAGCAAAATGCTGTTGCGAGCGCTGTAAAACTCTCACTAAAAACAAAAAAAATGAGAAGCAGTTTTGTGATACGTCTTTACTGTTCTTTATTTATTCATTTCAATCTCCAAATTTCTTAAAAAATCGCTTTGAAAAATAATGTATATGCAGGTCAAGTGTTGCTATATATAAAGTTTCTAACCTTTGGGTTTTTGTTTTTTCTGCTTTAGTAAGAGTTTTACGACACCCACAAAACAATCTGGTCACATAAGTGCTAAAAATTAGATGTGTTACAAGAGAGTAACAAACCCAAAAAAAAGGAGGGATCAGGACGACAGATGTTTGATAGGAAAGATGGAGTAGACCACACACCAGAGCACCCGCCAACCACTTGTTAACTGTTTACCAACTTTCACAGCCTTTTAGTTTAACCTGTGTTGTTCCCCCCTCTTCCCCCCCCCCCACCCCCGTACTGTTCCTCAGACTTACGGCTTCGAGCACATGGTCACTCTGTCCAACCTGGAGAAGTCTGGCTTCCTCCGCCCGCATGCCGCCCGCACCTACCAGGTCATCCGGAAAACCATGAAGCTGATTGTGGAGGACGTCAATGAACAGGTAAGTCTGTGTTTTTGCTGCAGATGCACATCACAGCTCTTTCTTCATGGAGTTGCTCTTTGTTTTTTCTTGCATAAAATGCAATATTTCTGTTTTCTTATTCCTTAAAGGCTTGTGCCGACATATCTGTTGTTTTTGGGTGGGTTTTTTTTTTCAAACATGGTTCCGAAACACAATGCTCATTTTCTGTTCCAAGATAATACAAGTGCCAGTTAATTTTTACTTTTGATCTTCAGTTTCAGTTATTGCCCACTTAATGTTTCACACCAGAGTTATATGAAAGCACAACTTCAGGGTGACCGTCATTTTGTTCAGGGTAAGAATGAGATGAGCAGATAGAGGAACAAGTGGAAGGTAAAGATGTGAGACCTGTTGGTGACACCCTCTGCCCCCCCCCCCCTCCCCTGATAAAAGAATTTGACCCCCCTCCCCCGAAAAAAAAAAAAAGAATTTGAAAAACGGGAACAAAGACAAGCTATAATTGTGTAGTGTGCTGACAAATTGAGTTATTTCTCGGATTCAAGCCTTATGGAAATAGATACATCACACTTATAGGTGAAGTTTTTACAAATTTTATGTATGAAATAATAAAAGACATGTTGTAGTGAAAAAATGTAGCATCTATAGAAAATCTACAAATTTGACCCAATGTCGATTTGGGGCCACAATATATCCCTTTGTGTATTCCGAGAAGTAACTCATTTTGTCAGCACACCTCACAATTGTTGATTTTTGCCTGTCAACTGATTTTATGGTTATTTTTGCGTTCTCCCTGTCAGAACCCCAACGACATAGCGTACGTGTACAGCGGCTACGCCCCGCTCAGCGTGCGCCTGGCCCAGTACCTGGCGCGTCCCGGCTGGCGCAGCATCACCGAGGTGCTCAACTTGTTGCCAGGACCCAAGGTGGAGGAGGTGCAGCAGATCCCCATGGGACTCAGGAAGAGACGTGAGTGGTGGTGGGTGGGTGGTGGGGGCTCTGCTGTTGGGTCTGCTTCTTCTTTCCCATCAAGCATCTATTGTCTTTATCTCCCCTCCTTCTTTTTTGTGTTTATTACTCTCTTGTAACACCTCTAATCTCCGGCACTTATTTGACCTTATTTTGTTGCAAGTGCCGTAAAGCTCTTACTAAAACTAAAACTAATACGTGAGTGTTGGGCTGGGTGTCTGTTCACTACGTTGCCTGCGACTCTGTCCATCACATGTTAAAGTTATAGAGTTATACACCTGGCCTTCTGCGGGACCATTAGATTTTCTTAAGTGTATCAGGAAAAGAGGTTGCTCAGATGGAAGAGAGAAAACCGGGGATTTAATTCTCTTTTGATGTACCCCTGTTTATTAATTAACAGTGTTCAGCTTACGACAGCCTCCACTGTGTTTTGTTTTTGTCTGGTCCATCCAGGGGCGTCGGTAACCTCGTCGCAGTCCAGCATGGGGGAGCAGAAACTGACGCTGGTGTTCTTCCTGGGCGGAGTCACGCAGGCTGAACTGGCGGCACTCCGGTTTTTGGCACAGCAAGATGACGGTGAGTGGTGAGGGGGGGGGAGTGAGGTGGACGTGGTTTTTTTGGGTAGACGACGTAGCAGTACAGTAGTCATTTTGTTCTATCTTTCTGGGGGGGTTTTATTTTTGAAGATAATGTCCATCTTAGTTGCATGCAATATGGTCGCTTTGAAGCACAAGGAGGCTATCCCAAATAATGCTGTTTTGAGAAAATGGAAGGTAAAGTTTTTGTTCAGTTTCTTTAAAAAACAAGGAGGGTTTTCTCTATAACCAAACAAATATACACACCAATGAAACCAAACTTCTCATACATAGGTAGGGCAATACCCACTTTTGGTGTAGGTCAAGATTTCTGGAAACCCCCTGAATTGTGGGTAAGCCTGCTTGTCCTTGTAAGTGACCCTATAATGGTGGACAATGTGGGGTGGTATGACCATTGTGGTAATGTGGTTGTGTAGATTAACTTTGGGGTATTATTTCTTTACCTTTTTTGTTGCTGGTGACTCTTCGCCATTTTCATTTCATTTTCTCCTTGTTCTGTTGTGTCAGTGACGGTATTGTCTTAATATGCTTTTGTTTTTTGTTAAGTCCTGTTTTTTTGTTTTTGAACTCAAGAATACTTTTTCCTCATTATTCTAATGCCCTTTTTACAAACTTTAGTTTTAAGTGAAGTTCTTTTTCAGTGGTGCGATTTGGCAGAAATTTTCTAGTTGATAATTGCTTTAAAACAAGGTAGCATGGCCATACCACCATTTCCATTTCCTAGATGTATTGATGTACCTCGCAGTGAGTACGTATATCATTTGCATGCGCTTCATAATTCTTATAATTTTGTCTGCTCTCATCGTAAATGTGTGAAAAGTTGAAGTAGTGCTCATAGTCCTGACCTTTTGTTGGGTCCTTTGTTTTTACTCAGGAAGAATCACATTTATTCTACCGGGTATTTCACTGTGAATAAATGTTTTGAGTTCTCCCTTGTCTTCTGTATCTCCGTCTTGTTTTGTTTTAGCTGGGCTTGAATAATGTTTTGAGTTCTCCGTTATCTTCTATGCATCCCTCCTCTTTCGTTTTGCACTGACTTCAATGATGTTTTGAGTTCTTCTTTATCTTCTGTATGTCCCCTCCTGTTTTGTTTTAGCTGGGCTTGAATGATGTCTTGAGTTCTTATCTTCTACATATTCCCCGTCTTTTGTCCTGTGATGATGTGAATGATATATGCCTTGAGTTCTCCGTTTTCTTCTATTGTTCCCCGTCTTTTGTCCTGTCTTGACTTGAATGAATGATGCCCTGAGTCCTCCGTCGGTGTAGGTATTCCCCATCTTTTGTCCTGTCCTGACATGAATGATATAATCCTTGAGTCCTTCGTCGGTGTAGGTATTCCCCGTCTTTTGTCCTGTCCTGACATGAATTATATGCCTTGAGTTCTCCGTCGCTGTAGGTATTCCCCGTCATTTGTCCTGTCATGACGTGAATGAATGATATAATCCTCGGGTCCTCCGTTGGTGTAGGTATTCCCACGGACTACATTGTGGCCACCACGAGAATCGTCACGGGCGACGTGGTGATGGAGGAGCTGGTCGAGGACACGGCCCGCTACGGCCCCGATGGGGCGCCCGTCTGCTGAGGCCGCCGCCTGATGGTGCCCCATACTCTTCCTCTTTCTCCCTCTTCCCATCATCCCATCTCCCATCCCCGTGCTGTTTTTTTTTTCTCCTCTTAAACTTTTTGTGATTACTTCATTGCCCCACTGTTTCTCAACACTTTGCCATCACAAGGCTCATATAGTAAAAATCCTTGCCATCAAAGGCAAAGGCATTTTGGGGAAAATCCCAAGAAACTGGGTGGTAAACATCGCCGATCGGCGAGATGTGATGGCAAAGTGTTGAAGCCCCCATCAAGTAGTACCATACGCACAGAATCACGTATTCTACAAAGTTTATCCGGTCTGATCTTCAATTTTCTCCGAGCCTCAGGAATTCACCGACTTAAAGGTCCACCAAACATGAGTATTTCAGCCCAATAACTGTAAGGGGGGCATTTGTCCTAAATATCTGAGTTTGCAATGTGATATTCATGTCCAATATCGACTTTATTCTAATACAAATTTTTCTTTACTTCACAAATCAAGGGTAGGTTGTTCAGTTTCATAGGAGAAATATATTTTTTCCCATACCAAGCGTAGGTTGTTCAGTTTCATATTAGAAATATATTTTTTCCCATACCAAGCGTAGGTTGTTCAATTTCATAGGAGAAATATATATTTTCCCAAACTAAGCGTAGGTTGTTCAGTCCCACAATTTGAAACATTCTCCCTTCCCTGCTGACATCACAGTTTACGACGGTGATGCTGTGACCCTTCCACTGACCCAAACTCTGACCCATCCATTGACCGTACTCTTCGAGCTGGCTTTCTCAGACGTGCTCCCTCCCCCATCTCTTCATCGTTATCTTTCCTACCTCCCCCATCTCTTACTCTTTATCTTTCCTACCTCCCCCATCTCTTCATCTTTATCTTTCCTACCTCCCCCATCTCTTCATCTTTATCTTTCCTACCTCCCCCATCTCTTCATCTTTATCTTTCCTCCCTACCCCATCTCTTCATCTTTATCTTTCCTACCTACCCCATCTCTTACTCTTTATCTTTCCTACCTACCCCATCTCTTACTCACTTACTCTTCATCTTTCTTCACCACCCCCCACCCCCCCTCCACCTCTTGCTCTTCTTCTTTGTGTTTCCTCCCTACCCAACCTCTTTTCCTCCGTACATTTTTGGTCTGTTCACCCCACCCCACCCATTTTTTATCTCTTTTTTTCCCTTCCTCAAGGACACCTCCGACTCGTCCACAAGATTTGTTATGCACATATCTTCATTACAGTTAATAGTAGTCATTTCTCCCCAGGACTTTTATACCCGTTATTTCAAGCCTGTTTGATCGCTTGATGCTGTGTTGTATTCAAAATGTGATGTTTCCAAACACTGTTTTTGGTGACACGTTTCCAGGTCCTGCCTACACGCTGCTACTGTGCTCCTTCTTTCCTATCAAATTGTACTATATATATTTGTAGTTTATTTTGAGTTAGCCCAAGAACAGTCATATTTAGTCCTGAAAATAGATGGAAATGGTTGTGTTGTATTCTGATTTAGCCGCTGCCCTTTTTCTGCTTTATCCCGTATCCCTTATGCTCAGAAGTGGCAGAATTTTTATTTTCTAAGACAAATTGTATCTTTGTGTGGTCAGTCCCTTTGTCTCTTCCCATACCCATACCTTGTACCTCCTCCTCACCTTGGCCGTCTTTTGTGTGTGTGTGTGTGCGGGGGGGGGGTCCATACTACAGGGCACTGAGCAATGATTGTAAAGCGCATAGAGTATGATAGAGCTTCCTGTTGAGCAGGAATTTGCGCTCTATACAAATTTTATCTATCTATCTATTATTATTGTTATTATTATTGTGATAATTATTATTATTATTAATAATGAGTGTCATCTTCCACAATGACACAACTCCATCTTTCCCTTCATAAAGGTGTGAATCCACGTCACATTTATTAAGAAGTAGGGTCTAGTTTGCTTTACTTTAATAAAGAATTTTTTGTCTTTAGACTTTAGACCAAGTTTTAACAAAGATCTGCCTCAAACATTACGGTTTTAAAAAATGTTAGTGCTCTCCAGGAGATTGGAATTTCATTGCCTGATGATTATTGTAAAACATTGAACAGAGGTACAGATTTTCCAGATCAATTCGGGCTTCTGCAGTTATCCAGATATTGCATTTTTATTTTTAAAACCTTGACGCAAGATGTATCAAACAATGATATTACATGATTCGTAAACCTAAATTCCTCTCGCGTGTGTTTCCTTGGATCCTAATAGTTCTGAATAATTTTTTCATAGCCTGTTGGAGCATCTTGTTAAAACAGATTACTGCTCTTGTTTGCCTTTGTAGGCCTACTAGAAAATTGCGTCTGAACTTTGAAAATTACATTTTTTTCTGTTTTGTGTGCTGCTATGTACTCATAGACTAAGGATGTGAATGTAAACACCTATCACGTTGAACTGACACTGTGAACTGACACTGTGAACCAACGTTTTAAACCGACGTAATGAACTGATGCTGTGAACTGACCATGTGAACCAACGTTTTAAACCGACGTAATGAACCCATGCTGTGAACTGGCGTGAACTGACACCTTATGCTGTGAACTGACACCATGTGTTGTGTCGTCTCTCTCCCCAGGCGGCACGGACTACGTGGTGGCAACGACCAACATCGTTCAAGGTCACCGACTGATCGAGTCGCTGCAGGAGCACATTGAGCCCGTCAAGCTGAACCCGTTCTGAGCGGCAACTCGCTCCGTCGCTGTTGTGTGTGGTCTGTGGGGGAAATACACGATGAGGAGATGTGTGCATGTGTGAGAAATTTTCTGGTGATATGTTTGGGTGGTCTTTGGGAGATATCACGAGGAGCAGATGTGTGTGTGTGTGTGTGTGTGTGTGTGTGAGAGAGAAATGTGCTGGTAATATGTTTGGGTGGTCTTTGGGAGATATCATGAGGAGCAGATGTGTGTATGTGTGTGTGTGTGTGTGTGAGAAATGTGCTGGTAGAATGTTTTTTCCAAATATGTGATGCTTTCTGTAATAATGTTAGTACATACAGCCGGGTATAGATAACTCAAACTCAAACACGAAGGGTATGGACACACGTGTTTGACTCTTCCATAATTCTGGTAAGTCTTACATAGGTAGCTAGAAATTAAAGAGCTATACGTCGAGGAATGGTAAACTGTACGAGCTCTCCTTGATTTTGAATTTTCCGTGTTCTTGTTACTGTTATCTGTGACTGACTGCGATTGTTGAAAATAATATTTTTAATTCAAGGTGCGGATATTTTGTGGAGAACAAATTACAATTTTTATTATATTTGGATTGAGTGTGTCTGTTGGGAGGTCATGCTTACAACAGGCAGGAGTGAGTGGGAACTGAATGAAGAATTTTTTGAGTAGGAAATGGATGAAAAGATGAGTTGAGTACTGGTACAGTGAACTTTGACATCCAGTACATTTGATGAGCCGGGCCTGTTTAGCTGTGGTGGGAGCAAGATATGTCTTGTCCTGAATAGATTGAAACGTTCACAGCAATTGACAAAACATTAGGGTCTTCCCAATTTTTTAATTTAAAAAAAAATTACTTTTCAACTTTCCGAATTATTTTCCTTTTGCTTTAAAAATGAGGAACATTTTCGTTTCCTTTGCGTCGTGGGTAGCAATGAGTTTTTATTCAATGCTTTTTCAACACCTTGATCATGATCATTCATAGTTTTTGGTTCCCTCTTTCGACATTGTCCTCAAACCGTTACTAATTCACCTGACCAAACATGAACAACAACCGCGGATGTCCCACTGGTGTGAGCTCCACTATCACCCACAATGAAATGTCCTCAGACATGACGAGTCTTGTTGTTTTCAAATTAATTCTTTTGACAATTGGGGATTTGTTCTCCTCTTGAAGGAGTTGAACTTTTTTGTTGGGTGTGAAGTTCACTGTGTTTGCTTTGCTCATTACCTGCTTGTTTATCAGTGTGGAAGATATGGATTGTTTGTCTGTACGGTCAGCATGTGATGATAGCATTGCTTCTGGGATGAATAACTGTATTATTGAACAGAATACTCTTGACCTGTTGTGGTTTCTGGTGCTTGTATAAGATCTTCTGTTTGTCATAGACGTTTTGTGGTACGGTATTACATTGTATACTTATGAACCAAATTTACACATATATAGATGTATTTGAGTTGATAAAATACGCAGATACACAGAGAGAGAAATGGAGATTGGAGGGGGGGGGGGGGGTATAGACAGAAACGAGAGAGAGAGAGAGAGAGAGAGAGAGTAAGATGGAGGGAGAAAAGAGAGAGAGAGTGTGTGTGTGATCCTTGTATTGTATAAAATATCTGTGGACTACGGTACCTTAGATTGTAAGGTCATGAACGGAAATGTTCTGTAATCACAGATGTCTGTCATGCTGCCAAGTTTTGTGAGTTTGTGTGAGACATGAACAATTACACGCCATGACTGGGGTGCTTGGTGATCTTTCTGTCAACTTGTGCAATACGTTAAAAAAAAAAAATGTGATGTTTGAGTGAGAAAAAAAGATGTGATGTTTGAGTGAGAAAAAAAACCCAACAAATCTTGGATGTTAGGGAGAGAGTGGGAGTGGGACTGAAAAGAGAAATGGGAAAAAGGAGCGTTGAAACACATTCCTTATTTTGTTGTTGTATAAAATTAATTTGCCATTTTGTGCGCTGTGAATACATTACTTCAAGACAGAGATAATAAAATTGTGTTTATGAATGAATGCCTAAGGGATCACCGAATATTCCAGTGTTCTGATGACTTGGATAAAGTTTGTTTATTTTTTTCTACTCTCTTGTTTGTATTAATTAGAATAATAATATAAATTATAATTGGTCGTTTTTAAGCACAAGGGGGCTATCCCGAAAAATACTATTTTGAGAAAATCGAAGGTAAAGTTTTTGCCCCTTGTTCAGTCTCTTTAAAAGACAAGGAGAGTTTTCTCTATTACTAAACAAACATACACACCATTGAAACCAAACTTCTCCTATAGGTAAGACAATGCCCACTTTTGGTCTAGGTCAAGATTTCTGGAAACCCCCGAAATCTGGGTTAGCCCACTTGTCCTTAAAAGCGACCAATTCTTGTGCAGGGTTGCTGGTAGACTGACCAAGAGGTTTGCTTGTCTGAGCTTCGCGCAGTGTTGCTGGGCTGGTAGAATGAAAGGTTTTTGTTTGTTTTGGTAGAGGTTTTATGGCGCTCGCAACTGCATAAGGTCATATAGACTCATATGAGCGCCAAGGGATGTCAACAGAGGAGTCCTTACAGGGAATCAGACTTACTCTGCTCACCTCTCTAGCTTCAACAGCACAAAGTCTGCTTATGAAAGGTTTGGTTGTTGGAACTGTCGTGAGAACGTATTAAATGCGGCTTTTGCTTTAGTGTATGGTAGCTAATATAATTAATTCACTTTCTGAGTTATTGTTGGAGTCCTGAATGAGATGTTAAGTTCAAAATTTGCAACTTTGAGTGAGATGTGTAGTTCAAAATTTGCAACTTTGAGTGAGATGTGTAGTTCAAAATTTGCAACTTTGAGTGAGATGTGTAGTTCAAAATTTGCAACTTTGAGTGAGATATGTAGTTCAAAATTTGCAACTTTGAGTGAGATGTGTAGTTCAAATAGTATTACCAGTTTCTAAACAGCTGTGAACAGTTTGCAACGTTGATCGAGCGTGAAATGAGAAAAAATAGAGTAACAAAAAACGTAACATGCACAGTTGAGAATGCACATATAATATATGGAAATTGGCAGTACATGGAACAATTTTCAATATGGATCAATTATTACGTTATGTACATGTATTGAATACAGACCAGACAACCTTCTCAATTCTATCGAGAAATTCCTGAACTCGGATTTTCTTTCCCGAGGTCTCGATAAATGACGTTATTCGTCTCATTAATTGAGCCACAGAGGGAAAAATGATCTTTTTTTAAATTTCAAAATTGGCGGTGAACAGATGAAAATAGGACAGTATGTTTCCCAGATGTAGCGCTAATTCGACAACAGTGGTGTTTTATTTTCTGCCTGTAATTGTGGCCTGTGTTTATTGTTCCCACTTGTTCCCCCACTGTTGTGCTGGCAAACATTTGGCCATTTATAATCGACCAGATGATAATATATAAAAATAGCTTTTATAATCCCTTCCCTTGTTTTGTATAGGATTTTGCAATATAAATCTTGGAACAAGTTAAAACTTGAGGATGTTGATTTGCAAACATGATCTCTGCTCATATTTTCCCCGATTTCAATTTCAGTCAACGCAGGCCTGAGAAAAAATATACATGACATCATGTACAAGTCAGAAAAAGTGTGGGACCTGAAAATGAAAATCTGCTGTGTGTGTGTGTTTGCTATGTGAGTGCTATACTGTACTTTGAAGAAGGGTTTTGTTTGCCACAGTTCAGCATGATGGCTGATGGCTTTGATCGTTGTTGTTGTCGTCTTGCAGATTGGCGTGTTGGCCAAGGCAGTGAGAGTGAGAGAGAAAGAAGGAGAGAAAGAAGGAGAGAGAGAGAAGGATAGAGAGAGCCTGAAATGAGTTGAGAGTACAATGTACAAGAGGAGGCTTATGTACTTGTGTAGCGTATATATAATATATGTGATGTGATGTGGCCACGCCATTTCTATTTTGTTGAATAAAAATCTTTTGTACATCATCAGTTCCTGTATTCCTGAATTGTTTTCAACTTCTCGTTTGGTGTGTTGTTGGCTTCAAGTTTTCTGTTGTGTCTTCCTGGTGGTTTTACAGCATCCAGACCTTTGTGAAGCATCATGGTGAAATCAGGCGCTCGTCAAAATAGTGAAATCGAACAAATAAGCATTTTCCCGCCAGTTTGGCAATTTTTATCGAATTTTTGTTTTTAGCTCTACACCTTTCGTATCCATATATATAAAAACATAATTCCGAGTGAATTCTACTGAAAAACGTTGATTAAAGGCACAAAATATGTCATTTTCTTGTTTTCAAAGCCTCTCAACCAATTGAAATTATCAAACTTTGGCGGCCATTTTCTCGCTAATTTTACCCCTGATACCCAGTGACCCCATCTTTTTCAATCGCAAATATCTCGACTTTTATTGGAAGAAACATGGGTATTTTTTCAGTGAAAGCAAGGCAAATGAATAAGCTTTCATATGAGGATAATAACTCCACACGCCCACAAGTAGATTCCACTGCGTTTTGACACATTTATATATATATATATATATATATATATATATATATATATATATATAATATATATATATATATATATATATAATAACAATATGAAGAAATTCCTGAAAATAAACTTCTTCCCTGTTGAAGGTACAAACAACGCCAGACTTATCTGACTAAATCGGAGATTACTACCTGTGTAGTTAAGTGACCAAGCACAGAAAAACAGCAGAAGAAAAAAACAACAACCCCAAAAATGCAGTGACAGAGAAGAAAAAGAAAGAGTAGACCTACAACTACAACGCTTCCTTACTTTACTTCTTGAAGTATGGTCATGTACAAAGCATAACATAACATGCAAGAAATGTCAAAGGTCAACAACTGAGCTTGACACAAAAGGTAAAAAATGGGAGATAAAATACATGTAATCACAGTCACAAAGTCAAAGACGTGGGGACAAGTTTAACTTAGATTCAGCCAATAGAACAAAAGTGTTTCAAGTTTGTTTACTATAGGAAAGAGAAACATACCAACATAATTCAGATAACAGGCAAAGAAAAAGTGAGACTGAGACAGAAACAACAGCCGGTTGTACTGGATGAAGTAACAATAAGATTAGGGTAAAATTTACAGGAAAGAAAGTAGATAGGTGGACCCTGGGGTGTATCTAGCGAAATGACAGTTTTAGGATAGGTGGACCCAGGGATGTATCTAGCTAAATAACAGTTTTATGATAGTATAGATGGACCCTGAGTGTTCCTAGCGAAATAACAGTTTTAGGATAGGTGGACCCCGGACCATTGAAAAGCTACCTGACATCATCATGTGTTAGGAAGGTAGGGTTAAAAAGAAATGGGAGGAAAAAAATCATGGAGAACTGACTCGGTCCGACATTATTCCAAGTGTACTTTTTACCTAAATCGTTGTATTTTGTAATAATTTTTTTTCTTTAAAAAATGTGATTTTTCATATTTATTTAGGTAAATCCCCGCTTACAAGTATTCGATAGAATCTGGAGTAATAATAAATTTCTACTGGCACCTGGCAACACTGAATGTCTTGCTGTTTTTTACAGGAGAATACAGTCACAAAGAAGATGAAGAGATAAGTGGAAGCAGCAGGTTAAGAACAATGTACATATATATAGAGAGAGAATGGGACACGTCGATATCAGAAATATGTGACCACGTACTATAACACTATGCTCAAGGGGAAGACCATATTTTGAAACCTGGAGAAGAGTCACAGAAATAAATGTACAGAGAAGTGGGAAGACATGGAATGACATCAAGCGGCTGGCCCAGGATAGGGAAATGTGGAAATTGTTTGTTTAACAAGGTCTATATATTATTATCCTGATCCAAAGTGAGAAAGTGTTTTTCCGTGGCCTAATATCCTGATCCAAAGTGAGAAAGTGTTTGTCCGTGGCCTAATATCCTGATCCAAAGTGAGAAAGTGTTTTTCCGTGGCTTAATATCCTGATCCAAAGTGAGAAAGTGTTTGTCCGTGGCCTAATATCCTGATCCAATGTGAGAAAGTGTTTGTTCGTGGCCTAAAGGCCTATCCTGATCCAATGAGAGAAAGTGTTTGTCCGTGGCCTAATATCCTGATCCAATGTGAGAAAGTGTTTGTCTGTGGCCTAATATCCTGATCCAGGGTGAGGAAGGCAATGGTGATGACTATATTACGCTGACATTGTAACTGACAAATTACCATCATAAGTTCGACGGCTAATAAAAAATGAATACCTCGGCACTAGTGCAGTATTTAAAAGAAAAAAAACAAGTCAAGGTTCTGAAGCTTCAAGTTCATACTTCTTTATTTCACTCAAGACTTGAATATCTTGTCAATGTTCCTACAAAAGGAGACAGAACGTTTGTAAAGTCATACCTGGAATAAAAAGGGACATAAAACTTGGCCTTTATTTGATTCAGTCGCGAGAAATTTGGAGGTCAGGTCACATAAAAAATAATGTTTCATTCTTACTTTTTTCTTGACAAAAATCACAAGTACCGGTACCCTATTCATCATTCTGATGTGGGTTATCTGTTTTGCATGTTTTATTTTCTCCAAACTTAAAAAAATGACGTAGTGACTTGTGGAATAGTGCTGACATTGTGTTTTACAACAAAACTACACTACAACTACAAGGAAAAATAAAGTCATAGCAGGGATAAATGAAGAAGAGTAAAGTAATTTAGCAACAGCTGGGCTACTAACTGGGCAGAGCAATGTTTGATTTTCTAGATCTTTTGGCACTCATAGATCACACAAGCACCCAACAAAGTAAACACTTTTACTTTTACAATGAGACCCTTTGATTCATCTATGCTGGAATGCAGCTCAAAAGAACATACTCAAAAGAACATGCAATGCATATGAAGGAGTAGATATCTACGCAAGGCGAATGAAATTCAAAAAGTATTAAAAGTTTTCTTCGAAATGAGCATGCGTGTTCAACTTGTAAAAATGTCAAACTATACTTCAAAAATTAACATAAGGACCCAGTTATAACATGTCTCTCCTTCTTAACAATAATATTTCACACTTTGGTCTGCTGCCAACAACAAGGAAGAAATAGAAACATGAACGGCACATACAAATTCTTACCAAACAAAAAGCAAACCTTTTTCAAACTTACTTAATTAAACCATTTATCATGTCTCAAGGAATCAAAACCAGGGATCCATTATAAGGTAGAAAGCTTGCACAGCAAAAGTAAGACTACTCTTGTAGGCCATGTTCTTATTCTCACTATTTGTGAGGCAGCTTGGTGGAATCAGGCGCTCGTCAAAATAAGGAAATTGAAATAGAAGAGACTGACATTTTTCTGCCAGCTTGGCAATTTTTATCAATTTCTTTGTTTTTTGGCTTAACACCAGTAGTTTTATCCAATTAAAGACACATTTCTGGGTGGATTTTACTGAAAAACGTCAATTAAAGGCAGAAAAAATGTAAGTTTTCAGTTTCCACTTCTATTCAAGATAGATGGGCATTTTTTTCACCAATACCAAGACAAATGAACAAGCTTTACGGTGATTCCAATAACTCCACACGCCCAAGAATTGATGGGCGCCTGATTCCACCACGTCGTGACACATTTTTCTCTTTAACGTCGAGCCTCTGTGTCTGTCACTTCACCCACACCCCTCACACAATGCCAACCACACATCAGCAAAGATTTTGACAGCTCACTGCGTGTCACATTCACTCCATCTCTCTTTGCTGTCTCTTTTTTGTTTAAGTTTTAGTAAGTTTGTTTTTCTATTTGTTTTTTTTAAAGTTTTAGTAAGAGTTTTACGGCACTTGCAACACAATAAGGTCATATAAGTGCCGAAGAACATAATTTATATGTGTTACAAGAGAGTAAAAGCAAAGCAAAGACAATCATTCAAACTCGACTCAAACTCAAACCACTGTAATTAGTCACAATAACTCCCGGGAACAGACGACACCCTCAGAGTCAGAGGAAAATCTATTTCTTTGTGGACATGGTTCATTTACCGCCCCACTCTACAACACAAAGTAGGTCATTTAGAAGACGGGGTCACCCCAGCCTTCATCAGTACACCACGCTCTAATGGAATTCTCCACAAGGGAAAAGAAAAATGTTGAGTCCAGACCGATCTAAACCTTCACTTTCCTCACAATTGCAAGTTCCCAACCGACGAGAGTGCATCTAGCTTTTGTAACATCTACTGTCATTGTAAACGACCCAGAAAAATTTCTCCTTGCGAGAAGAATAAAGATTGTCACTGTCATTGTAAAAAAAAACGGGGCCCCAACTATGTCCTGGACCCCAATCTTTCACCACTAGGCCTTGTTTGAAATCAGTGAGAAGCTGTGAGAAATCCAGGAGGTTAAGGAAAACAAGAACACACGCATGGATGTACTGCTTAACACGGCTAAAATGTAAATCTGAGTAGCCTATAGTCTATAGATAAGAAATCATCAAACAAATGAAATGAAATATATACGAAAAATCTGTTGTCACAAAAAAAAATTAGAAGCATTTTCCTGGGTTTTCAACAGATTTTATATCAATTCACAGATGAACAGAAATTCAGTCCAGATAGCATAAATCTACGTCCAAATGGAGCATGACGTGTGCCATGATAAATTTGGCTTTAGAATCAAGTATGATCATGAGAACACAAGAGAAAAAAACCATCAGTAAAACAATACAGTCGTCTCACCCACCCTCAACATTCCTTCATGTGAAGCAAGGGATAGCAATAAAAATGGATCATTATAATTATATAAAAATTCTGTTTTCAGAGTTCCCTTCCTTGAAACCCACCGTGTGTGTTCTCCAAAATGTTAACCTTCAGAGGCAGAGAATAAAAACCTGATGGCTCCATTAATCTTCCTCTGGGAAAACTCAAAACCTCTGCAGATAACCGTTTTCAGGCAGATCGAAATAATGTTCTTTAACCCAATCCGTACGTCATGTTTTACTATCGTATCCATACGACGTGGGGAACTCTGTGCCACCACTTTCCAAAGAGGAAATTTACTCGTTAATCCGATCCGTACGTTTTGCATAGCAGTCAGTCTGTCAAAATGATTTTTTGAGAAATACTGAAAGTTTCAAAGAGATCTTCGTACTACAAGTATTCTAAAATGTGAAGAATACAACCCCGGGATTACAAAATGACACCAGGGCGTACAGATAGAGTTAAAGCTTTGTCATGAAAGATTTCTGCTGCACGCCCATTGCACATATCACTGAATATTTTACAAAGGGACAAAAATAATTATTACTTAATTCTACAAGTTTGCAAGTAATATGGCAGGAAAGCCATAGGTGTGATCCTGAGAAAACCCCTTGGAGCAGTCTTCAACAAAACCTTTCTTCTTCTTCTGGTGAAATGAAGCAATTTATAAGGTATCTCTCTCAAGAAAGAGCTCTGTTTGTGTGTGAGTGTGTGTGTATGTGTGTGTGTGTGTGTGTGTGTGAATACATGCATATTATA